CTGCCGCCGTCTCCCGCCCTGCCCCGGCCCTCCCGCCCCTCGCCCGGCCTCTACACCCCACCCGGCCAGGACGGCCTGCAGCCCGCTGCTGTGAGCCCCACCTACAGCAGCGACGTCTCCCCCGTGTCGCCCTCCCGGGCGTGGTCTCCTCGAGCCAAGCAGGCCCCCAGGCCCTCCTTCTCTACCCGGAACGCGGGGATCGAGGCTCAGGTGTGGAAGCCATCCTTCTGCTTCAAGTAACCATCTTCCCACGGGTCCCGCTGCCGGTCAAGGCCCCTTCTCCAAGGCCAGGAAGAGCAGACCGGTCAGGAAGCAGCACGGGGTTATCCAGAAGGATGCGGCATCCCTGGGGCAGGCACCACCACTGCCACCCGATAGCTGCTTTACCCGGGCGAGTCTCCTCCCCAGCGGAGCTGCATCCGGCCTCTCCCCACTTCGGGGGCCTGGGCACCGTTGTGGGGCAGAGGTCACGGAGTGAGAACTCTCCCGGCGCCCTGAAAGGCCGAGGGCGTCCTTTGGCCTTGGTGGGAGGCAGGAATGGCAGCGTCTGAGGCCAGCGTCTTGCTGGGGGAGACAGGGTCAGGAAGGGGCTCTGATGGGACCTCTGGAGCAGACAGCCCGCCGGTGCCTGTGGAGTTCTTCTGCGAAGGGTCTGGCTCCTCAGCCGCCCCCCGGCACCTGCCTCTGCGCGCCCGCCATCTTTCTTCCTCTTGCTGGATTCTCACCTCCATGGGCCTATCTCTTCCCATTCCTGCCTCCTGGACACCGATTCTTCTCTGCTGCTTCAGAGAGCTTCACCTGCCTCTACCTTTCCAACTCTCTTGGGTCCTCCTGTGGATTCGGACTCAGCCCCCTGCTGTCTGATGCTTTTTTTTCCCCGCCCCTCCTCCACACCCTCTCCAGGACTCCCCTGCACCCAAGCGATTCCTGGGCCCCGCCGGACCCCAGGCCTGCTTCCACCTAGCTCACCCTCATGGTTTGGGGGCGGGAATCCCAGGGACCCTGGAGAGGAGAGCCATGAGGAGGGATGTGGGAGGTGGGGGTGATAGTAGCAGGTATCCCTGAGATGTTCTGGCTTTAACCTCAGCCAAGAGCTCCCTGACTAAAGGAAGGCACCTCAGTGCAGTGGAGGAGATGCCCCAGGGAGAGCGGCAGGAGGGAGGCTGGTCCCCTTTGGGCTTTCCATTTGTTGCGTGAGTTTGGCCCATTCTCTCCTTTATACAAAAGGCCCTCCTAGCTGAGATGTGTAAGGATGGAGATGGTATTCTGGTACTTTGGGAGGAAGGTTTTGCAGGTAAAGAGGGTCCCCTGGGAAGAACAGAAAACAAAATGGGCAGTTGAGGAAGGACAGAGTTGGCTGCCTGTGGAGGCCTGGTGGGTGTGGTTGGACTGAGCTGCTGCAGGAGGCCACAGGATCAGAAGCGTGATATCAGGATTGCTTGGAGACAGGGAATGTGCTGAGGGTCAGAGCAGGTATGCAGCAGCTGGGAGGAAGGGACACAGAAGACTCTACCATCTAAGTCTGGGACGTGGACCTGGATTCACAAAGCCTGACTGCATGCCTATTTGGGTCTTAGTTTTCCCATCCATACAGTGAGGATGTTGAGTCAGGTAGCCAAAGATCCTCAGCCGCTCCTCTGAGGTGATGCAGCTCCTCAGAACAAGGCTTTGTGGGGTGTTGAGAAAATACAGACAAGAGAGGCAGGATTCTGATGGAAGCTTCCCAAGATTGGGGGCTGAGGACCACCCACTTCCTCTTTCCCAGCCCTATTTCTGGGCTCCCAGAGGAGCGAAGGGTGGTGGAGGCGGCGCCATGCCGGGCTGAGCCTGCAGCTTTCGTGAGCTCTGGGCTCATCTCCATGGGAACAGGGGTGCCTGCTCAGTGAGCTCATTCCACACATCAGAATGAGGGGTGGGGAGCGGCTGAGACGGAGCTCAGCACCTCATGCCAGGGCCCTCCCAGAGCACAGCCAAGGCCCCACTGGTCTCCTGCTCTCTTGGGCCCCGGGAGGGGGCTGGCAGTGGAAAAGCCCACTTCCATTGTGCCGCTCCTGCCGCCAGGCTGAGCTCTTCCCCGCAACTTTGTTTTCTGTCCTGTTCTCAATACACTCTGCCTTCAATCCGTCTCGCTTCTTTCTTTCTCCTGCGCTGCTGCTGCCTGCCGCGGTCCGGGCTCCCTCGCTGCTCCCTGGTCTGGCCTGGGATGCAGAGTGGGGCTGCTCAGCCACTGCGTGTGAAAGTGAAGCTGTGGGCTCCTGTGCTGGCTGACTGCTGTGTGTCTGGATCTGAGGGGGCGGGAGGTGGATGGGGCAGTGGAGGAGGGGGCTTCCTCCCGTGCCAGGCCTTAGGGCTCCCGAACCCTGTGCGTCACCTTCTGTCTTCCCCTTCCCCCAGGGCTGGCCAAAAGAGCTGTGGAACAGGGAAGCACACTGCCTCTCGGGGTCCGGGCTTCTTTCAGTTCTTTAGAAGTGGAGCTGAAAGGCCTTTTGCCCGACTAGCACTATCGAGTTTCCTCCGGTCTCCTGTTCCCCTACTACTGAAATCTGTTTCCCACATTCATCAGCATCACCACCTGGCTCCCAAAGGCACAGCGTCCACAGTAGGTGGAGAGGAAAGAACCGCCAGATCAGTGCCTGGTTCCTGTGCAACCTCCCACAACCCTTCCTGTCTCATGCCTCAGTTTCCCCTTCTATGCAATGACAACCCTGCAGAAGGTGGTCTGGAAGCTGTTTGGATTCTGTCAGTCCCTGCTGCCTCTGCTCTACTTGTGTCTTTGCCCCACCCGGGTGCCCTGCTGTGTGGCTGGGGCTGGGCTGATTGGGTGTTGCTTTCTGAATTTTTACCCACTGCATTCCCAAGGAGTCCAGTATAGACATGCATGGAGCCCTCGGGCAGAAAGTGAACAGTTCTGATTTCCTGCAGCCTCTTCATATTGTGCACTGACCCCCATACACTCAGTTCCCGGACAGGGCAGTCAGTATGAGGTCAGACTGTGGCCCGCCTCCAGATGCTGAGGAGCTGCTCACCACTGCCCCCAACACTCCAACCCATGTCCGAGCCATCCCAGGCTGTAGTCTTGGCTGAATTCTCTTACTCCTTCCATGGTTGGACCCAGCAATCCCCTTGGTGCCGTGACAGGCAGAAACACATATTAGAGATTTTTAGACAGGTATTGTAGCTCCTTGTGCTCTAGCCTCATCTGTGGCTTCTCTGCCTCAGTGGCTGTTGACTGGCTTGGGTCAGTCCCTGCCTGCTCCTATCCTCACCTGCTAAGAGTAGCACTTTGCCAGGTACTGGAAAATGCCTGAGTATCCTGGATTTGGCATTTAGCCCTGAAATTCTGGTGTCAGCCTCTAGTCCTTCCTGTCTCGTTGTGGGCCTGGGACCTCCTTTCCAATCTCCTCTCCCTAAGTCCCAGGGTTTGTCACCCACAGTGACCTGCTTGCAGGTTTCCTGGGATGGATCAGAGACACAGAGAAGCACTTGGGGTCTCTGATTCACATACACAGCTCTGGCCTTGGAAGTAAAAGAAGTCTTGTACTGAGACTTAACCTTCCCACTTGACTGAATGCTTCTATGCCCCTGGAAGTCGTTGCAGCATTACCATCCCATGACAGATTTCCTGTTGACATGGTTGCTTAGCATTCCTCTTTAGGTTAAAGGGCCTAATTCTGAGTCTGGGCCCATCTAGCCACTGCAGGATTCTGTTTGGAGAATATATACAATCTTCCTTTTGATTGGGAGGAACTAGATTCTCAACTGGTTGAAAAGAATGGTTGGTGGGGCTGGGGATTTAGCTCAGCTGCAAAGTGCCTGCCTGGCAAGCGCAAGGTCGTGAGCTCGGTACCCGGTACCGGAGGAAAAAAAAAAGAAAAGAAAAGAATGGTTGGCTGATTGTTGATTGGATGAAAGAAAGGATCTTGTTGATGGCTTCAGTTTTTTTTTTTTTTTTTTTTTGTCTGAGCACAGTTATCTGAGTGTCACTCATGACCTTGCTTTTTTTTTTTTTTTTTTCTCCAGATTTTGATTGGGTAGAGGGCAGTGAATGGAGGGGCTAGCTCAGGGCTCTGATAGATGAATGACTGCTGGTGAACTTGGGTTGGACTGGGAGCCCAAGTAGACTGGTTGGAATTTGACCCAATCAATAGTTAAATGGTTTAGAAGATACACACTGAGTATGGATTCCCAAGTCCTGCGCTTTCAAACAAGTTAAAACTGGTGTAGTCTTTGAGCAGTAGATAGTCACACACACACATTCCTTGTGCAGTGGGATGCACTGGTCTGTTATTTATACCTCTGAGCTTCATTTTCATCATCAGTAACATGGGTGGGACAGTGCCAGCTACCTCACCTGTCATGAGGAGTCAATGAGAGGAGGTAAAGTGTGGGAACGAGCCTTGAGATTGGAAAGTCCTCAAGTAAATAAGACACAGGTATGGCAGTGCGTGGCAGAGCAGGAACTCAACCTGGAGGAGTGAGCTGGCTGGGGAAGAACGACCCACCTGTGTTTCCATGTCAGTAGGAACTTCCTCCCTCTCAGGTATCCATGGGAAAATGAGAGGACCGTGGCAACACAGCAAGGGGTTTGGGGCTGAGAGGGTCCTTCACTGAGAACAACTTTAAAATAGTAGTTTAAAATCCTTAAGTTCAAAATTTGGGAAGATAATACATCCCTGTGGTTCAAAACTCCAAACATAAAGTAATACCTTTAACAGCCTGATCCCGTCCCCTGTGGCTCTGTCCCTCTCTGCCCCGTTTCCTAACAGGTAACCACTTTGGCTAGGTTCATGTGTATCTTTCCATGAACTCTTAACATCTATTGTGCAACTTTCCTCCACGGAATATGCAAACACATGTCGTGTTTTTTCACGCAAGTTAATCTCTATGCTCTCCTATCGCATAGCGCACCCATTTTGCCAGGGAAAAAAACTAAAGTCCAGAGGGAGGAAGCAACTTGCCCAGTTCACCCAGAAAGTTAAGTCTGTCTTCAAAGTGAGCATTCTCAGCTTCTGGCCATCTGCCTCCCTGTTCAACACAGGAGCTGACACTGAGTCAAGCCAGGCACTGGCACACATGCTTGTAACCCCAGCACTCCGGAAGCTGAGGCAGGAGGATCGCTGAGCACTGGACGCCAGCGCAAACAAAACAAAAACAAAAATCCTGTTTTGAAAGGAGCGCAACACTAACGCCCGGCCCCACCTCTGCTCTCTCCCCAGGACCGCCCGGAGAGCCTACCCATCTCCCCGCCCTGGACGCCTGCCGCGTCCCGGCCCCCCAGCAGCCTGGACGGCTGGGTGAGCCCGGGGCCGTGGGAGCAGGGGCGCAGGAGCAACATGAGCAGCCCCCCGCCGCTGCCGCCGCCGCCGCCCATGTCCCCGTCGTGGAGTGAGCGCTCCGTGTCTCCGCTGCGATCCGAGATCGAGGTGCGTCCCCCGAGTCGCCAGCTGCAGGCGCTCCTGGCGCGGAACATCATCAACGCGGCCCGGCGCAAAAGCGCCTCCCCGCGGCCGGCGGGCGCCGAGAGTCTGTGTCCCTTCTCCCC